TGCCAGTTCGTTAATTGGAGACACACGACTCCCTTGTGTGGTCTCCCATTCGGTAGTTTATTTGTTTTTAGTATGTTCCAATTCTGTTCGTGAAACTAGCATACGAATGCCCTCAGTCTTTTATAGGTGAAAATAACATATGGACCCAGTCTTTGGTGTACTGAAGTGGCTAGGTTTGCCACAATGAGCCTCCGTGTCCTTTAATACAATCATATGGCAACATTTAGACCAAAATAGCTGATCTGGAAAAATTCTCCATGGATCAAGGATAATTCATCAATGTGATTTAAGCCCTTAGTGACCAGACAGTTTTTCAATTTTCTTATCGTTAAGCACCAGGACTGTTTTTACATTTCTGTGGTGCTTGTGTTTAGCTGTAATTTTCCTCTTATTCATTTACTGTACCCACACATATTATGCACCGCTTTCTCGCCATTAAATGGTCTTTCTAAAGATACCATAATTTCATCATATCATATAATTTACTATAAAACAAATTATAAAATATGAAGAAAAAAATTAAAAAAACACTTTTTCTTAATCTGACCCCCAAAATTTGTTACACATCTACAACCGCCAAAAAACACCCATGCTAAATAGTTTAGAAATACCCAATGTTAACATGTTCTTAGCTTTTTTTTTAAAGTTATAGGGCTATGAGTACAAGTAGGACATTGCTGTTTCAAAATATATATATTTTAAATGTATCAATAATGACACAGTAACACTGTTATCTGTCATAAATCTTTGAATCATACCTCACATGTCGCGCTACAAAAATAGCAAATAGAAAAGGATAAATATAATGTGCTAACATACACTTAAAAGCATAAATAAAAAGAAATATATAAATAGTAGTCCAAATACTTGGTGTACTTTTTGTAAGTTCCAATGAATGAATGGTAGTCTCAGTACTTTGTGTATTTCTCTTACAGGTTCCAGTAAATATATGAAGGTAGTGTGTCCAATAGGGGACTGGATCCTCTGGTATTAAAGGAGTCTTGACTCGATGATGAACATGGAAAAATAGAAAAAACAGAGACGATCCAATAGTGTAGACTGTCTATTAATAACTAAGGATAGGAAGAATAATAGGGAGGTAATACACTCACCTATTTCAGAGCATAAACTCGCTCTAGTGTGTTAGGCATTCAGTGGCGTTTGTCACCCACTGGTAGGATATAGGTGAAGATGATTCCTCGGTATGGAAAGGAGATAAAAGCAGAATATAGTGCTCACTGGATATAAATAAAATAAAAGAATAAAAGTACTCACATTCAGATGAGCAGGATATACAATCCCCACCCAGGATTCTTGGTCGTATGTAGGCTCCAAGATAGTATATGACCAGGTAACAGGAAATTTAGAAAAGTAGAATAAAAAGGTATATGGCAAAATTATAATAAAAAAGCCAATATTCCTTTATTAGTACAGTATAAAATATAAAAAAATAGCCAAAACGCGTTTCGCCACACAGGGCTTTATCAACTGGCAATAGTAAAAATCAACCTGGTACATAGATACTTATATAAACTTAGATAGAACATGCTTATTCAAATTTTGGCGCCAAAATGACATCATCAATACAATATGTAAAATACAAAAATCATTAAAACCATAAAAATAAGAAATGCATAATGTTAATAAAACAGTATATAAGATAATCCTTCGTTTTTAGTAGTAAAACGAGTATTATTGGTAAAGATTGACAAAAAAATAAAAAGGAGATTAAAAGTCATGTGATCGCAATCTAATGCGATCACATGGTATACACTGATGCAGGATGGGAAGTGTAGTAATGAAAACCAACAGAGAAAGGAGAGGGAATGTCTGGTCACGTGATCGCGGACCTCCGCGGTCACGTGGCTCGCCGCACACATCATAGGGAATGCAACACTCAGACGGAGGTCGGCATCTCGCGGCACGCCTCCGTCTGACGTCGACAGTAAGGACGGCATCACTGCATGCCGCATCACTCCATATCCCATGGGCACTTGCGGCATGCAGTGATTCTGTCCTTACTGTCGACGTCAGACGGAGGCGTGCCGCGAGATGCCGACCTCCGTCTGAGTGTTGCATTCCCTATGATGTGTGCGGCGAGCCACGTGACCAGACATTCCCTCTCCTTTCTCTGTTGGTTTTCATTACTACACTTCCCATCCTGCATCAGTGTATACCATGTGATCGCATTAGATTGCGATCACATGACTTTTAATCTCCTTTTTATTTTTTTGTCAATCTTTACCAATAATACTCGTTTTACTACTAAAAACGAAGGATTATCTTATATACTGTTTTATTAACATTATGCATTTCTTATTTTTATGGTTTTAATGATTTTTACCATTTTATTGATATTCAAATAAATTTTAGCGCCAAAAGTAAAGCATCGACTATCCCAAAATTTACTATAAAAAAGTATCATATACCGAGTTATTTTACTACAGCCCACTTCCAGCAGCCAACGAAAGCATTGACACGGCTTTAGCACACTCCCATTTTACCAGCCGCTTTATCAAAGGGAAAATATTACAGCTTTTATTAATTTTTGCCGCCCTCCTTTTACATTACGCACACTCAAAGACACCACCGTACCAGTCATATATCTTTGAGCTTACCGACCAGAAATGGTGAAATTATACCACTATGCGATTATATTTGAGCGGTATATCGCATATGCATCCGAATGCGAGCTAGCATTGCTTTTGTTTTGGCGCCGCCGGTAGGCGCACTACTATTCGCATCTCGCTTTTCCGCTGCGAAATCATCTTCACCTATATCTACCGGTGAACAACGCCACTACTAACACCAGAAGCGGTTATAACAGCTCGTGAGTGTATTACCTCCCTATTATTCTTCCTATCCTTAGTTATTAATAGACAGTCTACACTATTGGATCGTCTCTGTTTTTTCTATTTTTCCATGTTCATCATCGAGTCAAGACTCCTTTAATACCAGAGGATCCAGTCCCCTATTGGACACACTACCTTCATATATTTACTGGAACCTGTAAGAGAAATACACAAAGTACTGAGACTACCATTCATTCATTGGAACTTACAAAAAGTACACCAAGTATTTGGACTACTATTTATATATTTCTTTTTATTTATGCTTTTAAGTGTATGTTAGCACATTATATTTATCCTTTTCTATTTGCTATTTTTGTAGTGCGACCTATTATTCCTGTTTTTGCCATTTCTTCTTTGAGGATTTTAGAGGGAACCTCATATTTATAGGTTGCAGCTCTCTACTTGTCTTTAGTTCCCCACTAAATCACGCAGCGCTGATCCATTTTCTACTCATACCTCACATGTACATATTTTTGTACATATGCAGACAACTCAGGGTATTCAAAATGGAATATGTCCAGTCTTTTGTAGTAGTCACTTAGTCATGAACGCTGGCCAAAGTTAGTGTTTTTATTAGTTTTTTGCATTTTATTTAACAAAAACTGCACTTTTACTGATGATATCATCATCATGATAAGTTTTACTGTTTTAAAAAACCTCATATCTGTGTTCAGATACTGGGAAGTCTCCCGAGTATAACAATACCCCCCATGTACAGCTGTTATGGTGTTTTGGAAAGTTACAGGGTTAAATATAGGGCTTGTCAATTAAATTCTATGGACTGTCTGCCTGGGTTGTCAGGCAGGCCCCTCAAATTATAATTAATAAAATCAAACAATTATGTAAAATTAATAGTTAAATATATATGTAGAATGTGTATGTGTGTGTATATATATATATATATATATTTGTGGTCAGGGAAATTAGCCAAGTAAGCGTAGATTTTGTTATTAGCTAAATTCAGTTGTGGTGTGCCGAAACCAAATGTACGGGAAGGCCTGTAAAATAAAGAGGGCCCACCAAGGTAGAATTTGTAGAAATGTGAATATGTGGAGTGATGGGTGGGGTGACCAATCGTCGTCAGCCTGGTATGGAGGTAAGTCTGAGTTTAAATATGTCGGATCACCCCCTCCCACAACTCCAGGCTCCGCCTTCACATTTGAGGTCAGGGAAATTAGCTAAGTAAGCGTAGATTGTGTTATTAGCTAAATTCTGTTGTGGTGTACCGAAACTGAATGTACGAGCAGGCCTGTAAAATAAAGAGGGCAAAAAGATATGGGCAAAACATCTTTAATACATAACAGTAAAATACCATATTTGAGTTTGACACTTACATCTACTTAATTAAATCCTTAAATGCTTTCCTCATTTCTTTTTCTGGTTGAGGAATGTACCGGTTGAAAGCGGACGATTTCCAACGTCCTAGTTTTTTAATAATGTGTGCTGGGACGTTCTGACTAGAAGCGGCAGTAGCTGCATCTATGCAGAATGAAGGACCAGTGAACGCTGATGGGGTTTACCCTGTTTTTGTTAAAAGAGTCCATACGTATACCATGAATTTGGATTTTGACAGAGGGTTATTGTGTAGATTTAGTAGAGGGGCGTTCTTATCTTGTATTTTTAGACGTGGATATAGACTGTCAAACAGTTGTACTGGGAACCATTTGTTACCTGTGAGGTATATAGGTATTTCATTGGGAGGTCCCGTTTGATTAGTTTTGGAGTGACAAAGTGTCAAAACATAGTAGACCCCTATTTTGTTAAGGTCTGGTATGAGTGGTTTGTTCTGCTGTGAACTCGTTAGGTCTCAAGAACCCATAGAAGGCTAGATAAATATCGATTTTTAATGTATTGTTTGTTTCGTTTTTGAATGGCAGTTTATGCAATGTATCGGATAATGCCCGGAACTTGTTTACGTCTATCGGTTGACATTTAGTGGGTTTTTGTTCTTCAAGTTGTAAGATACCTTTCAAAAAGTTTCTTATGGGGTTAGTAGACATGAAAGTTCTGTGACTAGGATACGTGTTTGTGAGGTGATATTGTATACCTATGAGGTATAATTTTAGCAAATTGTGTCCCAGTATTAGGTGTAGGTATATTAACCGTTCATGTAATAGCCGTTCGTGTAATAGTTAGCCGTATGGTGGTTTAAGTCGTTTCGTGTGATGAAGCAATTTGTGAGGTTTTCCCGTTCGTGTAAGTAGCCGTACGTGTAAGTAGAGCCCTTCGTATGAGTTGGTGCAGTTCGTGTGTTTGAACGTGCTTCGTGATGTTCTTACTCACTGTTTCCGGGTGATTGACACCTGACCCGGAAGTGAGGCAGTAGTACCGGGAATGTGGCGGTAAAGGTGCCCGAGCGGTTGTGGACCGGCATAGGCATTTTGACTGGGTCGAGGATGCGCTGGAAGCCTGGTAAGAATCCTGGTTTGCACGAGGGAAGTAGACCATGAGGGAGACTGTCCTTAGGAAACCGGAAGCGACCAATCGTCACCCCCTCCCACAACTCCAGGCTCCGTCTTTCCATATACATAAAAAAAAATTATTATTATTTTTTTTTTACATTATATATATATATATATATATATATATATATATATATATACACATACATATACACACACTGGAATTTCTTGCTCTCAGGCTGAAAATAGACAAGGTCCACTCACGGTCTTTCAATAAAAAATTACTTTTATTCCACCATGGTTAAAAACAAGATCAATGTTTCAGTCCCAAATAGGGACTTTCATCAGGATCATAGATATGGATGTAACAAACAACTCACATTCATCCAGATGAAAGTCCCTATTTGGGACTGAAATGTTGATCCTGTTTTTAACCATTTCTTATTGAAATACCAAGAGTGCAGCCTTCTACATACAGATTATATATGAATATATATATATATATATATATATATATATATATTATATATTATAAAATGCTTATAATATATTTATTTGATTATTTTTCTTTACTATTTTAGGTGTCAGGGGGCCTGGAAGGCTGGGGTGGCCGGAGCTGCTGCAGGGAGACTGCTGGGGTCTCGGGCAGTCTCCCCCCAACCGGGATCGCTGCAGATCGCCAGTCCAGGTAAGTAAATGGGTCATTTTTGCCACGGACATACTGGGTACATCCGTGGTCCTTAACGACTGTTTTTTTCGTTAAGGGGTTAAAGTGTTCCTGTTTCCTTATGGTGGCAAGACACTCGAAAGTGACTGTTCGGATGCCACAGGGTGCTGAGAGAGTTATGGGTACCTAAATCAGTCCCACGTGGCCGCCATCATTCTATTCCTGACAGTCCTCTTAAGCAACATTAATCCAACATTAACCCCTATACTGCACTCTATTAAACATTAACACCTACATTAACATTTGCCCCTATGCACTCTATTAAACATTAAACAAATACACTACATTAACATTAACCTCTATACTACTGATGGGAGTGAGGAACCTGAATGAGGAGGGGTTGGGGTATGAAACATTTGGGAGTGTGAGTGAGGAGTAAGTTAAGGAAAATAAAGAGAAGTGAAAATGAAAAAAGAAAAAAATACATTCAGACACAGACATTTACAATACACACAGATACCTGGCACTAATACCCTCTTGAAAAACACCTTTAATTCACTTTGGATTCACACACTGAAGTAAACAGCCCTGTAAATTTGCAATGGTTTTACAGTTTCTTGTTGTAAAAAACACACAGACAAAAAAAAAAAAACGAATTGCGCGACTTAATGAAATTTCCCAAACACACCTTTCTTTATGTGGCAGTAATAACTAACCATAAACCTACAGATGATATTGAATTATATTGACCTCTTTACCTTCAATGTTTGGGATAAGCTTACCGTAATAAATAAACACACAATGCCAAGTATGGGATATAAAAAAGGTCACAGAACATTTATTGAAATCATTGTCCCGCAAAACCTGTAACTAAAATAGGTGCATTAACACAGACAATGATCCAAAACATATTAACTTAAACACATAACTTAAACAAAACACCCCAGCTTGCTAAGGCTTGAAGGTGCCCCATTGAAAACCAATTTGGGGAGAGAATATCCAGATGCCTGCCCCACTTCCTGAGGTTCCCAGTTCCTCCCCAACCAGGAACCTTCCACCGATCATTGCCACCAATGATCAACCAGGCTTGAATCACCAAAATACCTGGCAAGCTCCTGCCACAAAGCCCATCCCTTGAAACCTTTAGTTGTATGGGGTTCCCCACCCGAAATAAATTGTCCTTCTCTATACCCTCTGCCATCGCCAAATTAAAAAGGTCTGAACATAATCTGCCAGATGGACCCCATCCCTAACATACAGCCCCGGGCAACCCCCTTTCAGCGCAAAATGCCTAACCATAATTCCCTGATGTTTTCTTACAAACCCAGCCATCAACTTGCTAGTCTTCCCTCTACTGTGCTCTATCACCGCCCCCACGATTCCTGACAGGTCACCAATGCAGCTGAGGTATCATCTCTGGCCAGACCAGCTTCACTCCAGAGACCAACTCCAACAAATGGCACACATCTCTCTTCATCCTACAAACCGACTCATGCTGCAGGGTAATCCCTATATCGTTACCACCCAAGTGCACCACCAAATCATCAGGTACCACCCTCAAATGTAACTATCTCAGAATTGTAAACAACAATGACTTTCCACAACATACCATGAACTCCAAACCAAATCAGTTGGATCAGATTCCTGTAGAAGCCCAGCTGCAAACTATTGGCCCTAACTGCAGCTCTCCTCTGGGCGCAGTAGATGTGGGAGTGTCCAACAATCTACGCTAAATATGGGCGTCATGAAACAAAACACAAACAGGGCAAGATACTCAACGGCCCACATATAAAACCACCCCACCACCACCTAAACCCACTGCTCCCAGAGGCTCGCCCCCATTGCAACAAGCTATATGGCTGAATATACATCCAGAGACACGCAGACTCTCAGTGTCAGGATTACAAGTTGATCCACTACCCAGTACTGTCTCACACCTAGGACTCAGGATGATGTATAACCGGACCTTTGAATGGCTGTCCTTAAAGTCTCCAAGAATAGTCAAAATACTTGCCGAGGTCAGGGACACAGAATCAGACACAAAGATGAGGGAAAGCCAAAAGTCAAGGATACCAGATATCAAGGAAGTCAAAACAAAGCCAAAGTCAAATACCAGAAAATCAAGTTTAGGAACACACTCTCGGATAACCATAGGCATGAAACTCCTCCTGTGGCTCCGATTGGCTATAACCAGCCTTTGACCCCAAAGGCAATTACTAGGTTTCCATGTGCATGATTGCTGCTCGGCACAACTTTTCCTGTCTTGACGGTAATGTTGCTTGACACAACTTTTCCTGTCAGGACAGTAAATGCCATTAACCACATTTTTATGTGCGGATGAATACGTGACACTCAGCGCCCGATCTGACGCACCTCATCCTCCCCTAAACCCATTCTCGCGGCCTCTGTGGTCATCCCGATGTAGAAAGAGTGTGTCACAAACTCCACCACCTCCACCCCGAGATGTGTCAAACACATGATCTTAAAAAACTGGAATCGCAACACTGGGGACACATTCCAAGAAACCAAAAATGACAGACCTCCCTGTTGCCGAACCTTGATATAGTGTGACACAACTCACCAGGCAGATGGGGTACAGCAAGATCTGCTTGCCCCACCCAAGAACGTCCATCTTGGACAAACACAGCCACACCAACACCACACTGTTGTTACAGACCACATCGCCCACCATCGAATTTCCAGGACTAGCCAGCTCTTACACCCAAAATGCCACGTAGAAGGCCAAGGCATAGGCCGCTTAGAACAAAACCACCTGAAATGCAGAGGTGCAAACTGAAGACAAGACAGATAGCAAATCTTGTACAAAACAGAAAAAGTGTGCAGCGCATGAACCAAACCCACAAATCTTATAGGAGTATAAGCACAATCAGTACATAAAAATACAAAGAGAGATAAATACCCCAGTATTTTAAGATCTTTAAGGGTCATACGTTTTGGTCAGATCCCATATGGAAACTGGTTCAAGTAGTATCACTTTAAAATGTCTCAGGTCAAATCTTGAAGTTACTCTCAGGGATGTAGCTTGATCCTCAGAATATGGAAATGGTTGGACAAGCAAACATCAAATTAAGAGTATAAAAAGCACATTTATTATAAGTAAATAAAAACCTTACATTGAGGTCTTGTAAAATCAGCAAAGAAATAACAGCATAAATAGCAGCACAACGCGTTTCAACGATCAATCTCGTCTTCCTCAGGTGCAGTTCACATTGTTACATAAAATTCATACATTTAAAAGCCTTTTGGCGCGGAAAATCGGGTATTTAGGACCCGCCCCCTTTGCCATCGGACCAATCAGCAAAGACTAAATGGTTTCCTCTTCACAGTCTGTGATTTCCGGATCTATGCGTTCCATTCCTTTTACTTCCGGTATCGCATGCGTTCCAATATGCGTTTCACAGGGGGCACTTCCGGTTTCGCTTGCGGTCCGGTTTATCCGGCGAAAAAATTCTATATCAAGTTCATATGGCTACTAAACCTCAAGTCCACATAAAAATAATGTACATGTGTACATAGATGCTCATATATATGTGTACAAAACATGTACATAGAAAACAGGGAAATAAAATAGAAAACCAAAAGTTAATAATAGCCACAAATAACTCATTATATCTATATATACAGATACATAATAAAAGAGTGAGGTGGAACCAATAAGAGTGTGTTCACCAGGTGAAGAGTGTGTAGAGAATTAGATATAATTGTACATTTCAAAATCAATGTTCAAACCACATGGAGAGAGGGTTTCCAGTTCAAAGATCCATTTCATTTCTGTTCTATTCAGGATCTTGAGGTGGTCCCCCCCTCTCCATGGTTTTTGAACCTTTTGGATTCCCAGGAAATGTAAACATTTGGTGTCCCCATTATGTTTTTGATAGACATGTGCTGATACTGAATGATTAAGAACTCCCTTTTGTACATTCCTAAGATGTTCACAGATCCTGACTTTTAGGGGTCTAGTGGTACGCCCTATGTACTGCAGTCCACAGATACATGTTAATAAATAAATAACATTGTTTGAATTACATGTTATAAAATCTTTAACTGTATATTCTTTTTGTGTTTTACTTGAAATAAATTTCTCAGTTTTTTTATTTATGATTTTACTCATACTACACGCCCTACAATTCCCACAGTTAAAAAATCCTTGTAATTTTTTTCCTTGTAAATCATTATCTTTGAGGGGTCTTTTGGGGATATAACTCCTAGTCAATATATCTTTAAAATTATTGGCGCCTCTATAAGTTATTTTCGGCTTTTCTCCTATAAATTCACTAAGATCTTCATTTTGTTTAAGAATATACCAATGTTTTTTTAAAACTTTATGAAAAATATGACTCTGTGAGTTATAGTCACAA